GACCCCCGGGCTGTGCCCCCACTCGGGCCTGCTGACGCCGAGGCGGCCTAACGGCGGTTGGACGGCCAGGGACCGTTGGAAGGAGATTCAACTGCTTTTCCTACAGTTTGAGAATCTTGTCCCCACTTCGCCCCCGCCCGCACGGAGGGAGACCCCCCTCCCTCCGCTGTCTGTCTTCGGCTTGCTCTTTAGTGACGTTTGAGTTGCGGGGGTTCTGTGCGTCGCCGTTCTGCTCTGGAGAGCTGTTTTGAGGGAGACCCCTCAATAAGTCTTCCTTACCCCAGCTCCCTTCCCCTCCCCCCCAAATTGAACCGGGGACACCATACTTTAGTTCTTCTTGGGCCAGTTTGAACATGGACATGAAATATATGGTTCGAAAATAACTGGTCAGCTAGTATGGGGGAAATGTTCGAAAATAGATGCATTTCTATCAAGAAGTGGGCAGGGTTGATTGTTGCTTAAGGGAAGTGCGTTCCGGTTAGAGCGCAAAGAGGCCTGCAGAAGTTGTGCCGGGTGTTTGGAGCCAAGGTTTTAGTTCTGGAAGAATAGGTCATGTACAGGTAGCAGTTGAGCTGTACGTTAAGAACGGTGAATATGAATATTCTACGTTTGCATCAATGGGATTTTGTTCAGAAACTAGGCAACTTGAGTAAGTTCTCGGTGGCCCAAATGTGTGCAGTCACTCCTGGGAGTGAGTTGTCCTCCATGTTGGTATTGTGGTGTACTAGGGCTGGGGTAAACCTTTCATCTACTTTCTTATCCTGTGCCCTTTGTAGGGCTCTTTCCCCAAAAAGATAGTGTTACTTTGGTTAGGTCTGGCTCCTCATGTCCTTGTCCTGGCTAGGATATTAATGGTAAGCTTTGCAAAATGTGTGATCTTGCTGCATTTCCCCATTCTGAATGTCAGACAGACATGATGGCCACCATTTTGTATTGAGAGTGGTACGAACTACAGTCCGAGGAAGGTGTTAAAGAGGCACAAATAAATAATCCACAAACAAAACCAATGCTCTGTTTTGAAGATTTCTTTTGTGTAGAGGAGGCTTGTTTCCTCCTTTGTTTAACAAACTCCTGTGCCAAATGGAAAGAGTTTGGGAGTATTCGTTGTTGATACAACTAGAGAAAAGGGAAATATTTTCATAAGTTGTAGCTCTTGAAGAAAGGTCTTGTTGGAACAAAGGATTCTTAAGAGATGAGGATGTAAACCGTCTTTGTTTTAGAAAACTGTGAACAAGTGGTTTCATATAATTGAAATAAAGCAACCCAAAAAAACCAAGAGGTAGGAAATATTTTCCATGGCAATAGCTGTAAAATGCCTGTGTTTCTAGATAATTTATGGCCACTAAGTTTTTGGAATACAAGTGGCTGTATTAAAGTGGGGATTTGGTCTGTTGGTATTGTATTTCTCTGAGGTAAGGGGAAGAATTATAAAGCATTTCTGCTTCCTTTTGTCTTTATCTTTGCATTTTTAATTAATGGTACTTATGGAGCTTCAGTTTATAGTTTCTTCTCAGTGATGGTCCTAAATTGCTAAAACCTTGGGGTTCACAGAAATTATGAAAATACAGGAAGATAAATGTGACAAAATTAATAAATCAAGAAGTTGGTACTCAAATCCTGAGTTATAAGTTTAAAGAGGAATGTAAACAAACCTTTTTTCAAGTTACATCAAGTATGTAGGATTACTAGGCTTATTTCCTGGGCTGCTCTTTAAAATTTTATTTTATTTTGTTAACGGTCTGACTTCTGGTTTTGTTACCTTTAGAATGCAAATGTTTATTTCCTCCTTGATGTACTTAGATTTCTTTTTAAGGACAAATTATATTTTCCATGCCGCTTTGTAGTATTTGGAGATGATTACTTTTAGGGTGTAACTATTAGGCAGAAAATAGTTGGCTGCTCAGTAAATACTTTTCTGTCTCCTGAGTTTGATTAGAATGTATTTGATGGCTTTAATAACCTTCTTTGTTGCCCTCAAACATGTAACACTTGGCCATAGATGGGCAGGTTACACAGTTTTTTTCTCTGGTGTTCAGAAGTCAGGGATTTATTTAAGTCAGACCCCAGATGGCACAGTAGATACATTTTTCAACTTTAACTTCCTGTGGTTGTTAGTTTGATCCCTTCATCTGTATAGCCAAAGTGTAAAACTTTCAAGTGTTTTGATACAGTGAGCAGCTTTGAGTCAGCCTTTTGGTTCCACCTTTAGGAACAAGGTGGAACTTAAACACACATTTCTTTGTATGTGGAGGTGTTAATGATACCAAGCTCTTTTTCTCTATTCCAACCTATCATTCTCTCTAATTTTAGGTTTTCTTGACTTTGGCCTAATCCTGTTGTTTTCCCAATTTCTTTGGCATCATGAAATTTTTCTCTAGTTGTGATTCCTTGCCACCTTACATCTTTTAACATTTGAGGGAAAGGCTTATCAATAGAAACAATCTTGAGTGAAGGAAGAATTTAAAATTATTTTTAAAAAAATAACAGCTTTATTGAGCTGTGATTCATATACCATACAGTTCATCAATTTAAAGTGTGAGATTCAATAGTTTTTAGTGTTTTCACAGTTTTACATAACATCACCACAATCAGTGTTAGAACATCATCATCCCCAAGAGAAAGCCTGTACCCAATTGTAATTACTTTTTAAGATGAATTTAGGATTCTACTGCTCAAAAGAAAAACTTTTCTTTCTCATTTGGTAGGAGGCTGGATTAAGTCCTACAGTTTTAGTTAGAATGTGTCTTCCTTAAACAAAATTAAGAACAAACTTCATTTGTTGTAGTCTTTGAATGGGTGTTTAGCTAAATTTGACTTTGCCAGTGGTAAATTGGTCACACGAGGAGCCACAAACATCCATCTAGCTGTACCTCTTAGCGAACTAATCAATAAATTAATAGATTCTTAGAATGTAATGTGATACTACAAATATATGAGGGGGCTAAAGATTCACATTCCCCACCCCCATTGGAAAAGTTTCCCTTCCTGTGGTTATAAAAAAAGTTTGTTTAAACATGCAGTATAAACCTTTTTAAAGAGCAAAATGAATAGAGAATTGCCTTTGAAAAGTGTTAATGTTTTGAATTAAGACTTGGGATTGAGTTCATTATTGAGACACTGATAACAAAAATTAGAGAAAATTAACGCTCAATTTCATTCTTTGTCTCTAAGGTACTTAATTTTCTTTATTTCTGATTGATAGAGCCAATAGGAAACTTGCTTACTTATTTACATAATATAGGCAGATAGAAATCTGCCAGTGAGAGAATTTTCTTTTAGAAAGATAAAAACATTGCAAACTGTTTGATTAAAAAGGGGAGGGGGCGGTTTATGTGCTGTAAATGGGATCTTCTTGTAGGCTTTTGCAACCTCTCATTGTTTTAATTGGACCACACTAAAGTTTGGTTATAGAAAAGGATAAAGGGAGAGCTCATGTCCCAAAATGAAAGTGCTAATTAATTAGGATCTTGGACTTAGGTTACAGGATGCCTACTTGGGTACCTCCTTGCAAAGCCCATCTATGGATTTTAAAACCGGTAACCTAGAAAGACCTTGCTTTCCTCATTGTGCAGTCCTTGCATTGAGCTGGTGGTTTGATGTTTCCTTTCCAAGAGAGTTAGATATTCTCTGGAGATTATGCTAGTATACCTGTTTTCAAGTGCAGAAAATCATTGCAGACTCAAGAAAAAATTAAGTTAGGTGGGATTAATGTTGAGAACTGAAGAGGTGGCTACTTTCCTTTTTGAAATTTCTAAGTTTGAGTCCTTTGAGAAGGAATCACCAGAGGCACACTGATGAGCCCCTTTGAAATGAGTGGGTCCGTGGAGTGATACTCTGGGAAAGCCATTGCCACTGGTCATTCTCATTTACTTTAGATTAAGTTTGAGAAACTGGTATCTGGATTTTAAACTCTGAGTTGTGAGAAATTTGTTTTATACATGAAAATTGTATGCAGCTTCACAAGGATTTCCTAAGTATTTTATTAACTGGTGTATCCTAGCATGGGATTAAAGAGAAGAATGAGAGACTACCTTTGTACACCTCAAAAAATTCTTCCAAAAATGCTCCCTTTTCTGTCATTAACTATTAGATGAGTTCTGTGGTGATTTTGGTTTTTCAGTTCCCAAGTTTATGAAGACTAATGAGAAGAAGCCGCCTCTAGGGCAGTAAGACATTTTTGTTCCATAATTGTAAGATTTTTGGAACAAAGATGTGGAATTTGAGACTTTTTTTTTTAAACATCAGATCTTTAATTGTAGACCATTCCTGTTGAAGCATCATTGCCATACACCTTTAGACATGGCCTAGAGTCATCCAGTCTGTACGTCTGGGGAGTTTGTTTTTTAATCAGTTAAGCTTGCTTTCTAGACTAAGGACTAGTTACTTGTTCCGCAAAAGCCTTCATTTGCAGGGTGTACATGGAATTTTTTT